ACAAATGTTATTCCATGATAAAATTGGTGTTAATGTGTGTTAATATGCGATAACATGATATTTACTGATAACATTGTACCTAATCTCTAGTTAAACCCTTAAACTGGGCAAATATCTCGGATTAAATATTCTACGGTTAAAGTCCGGTTAAAACGTTAACCGAGTGATGATAAAAACACATTTTTAGTTTAACTGGAGATTAACATTAGTTGGAGATTAAATTCTCTTGACTGGAGGTTGATAAAATGGCCCTAAAGAGTTTAGGTTTACGCTTAGGACGATAAATTCCTCGGAGCAATATCAAATTTGGAGTTTTGACGAGATTTTTATATTTCGTGGTTGGGTCTCATTCTTTCGACAATTTTTTATCACCTGAGGTGAACTGGATGTATTCCATATCTTTTACGAGATTGACCGCGAGTTTACCGAAACAAATTGCCTATACAGGGTAAAACATTTTCGGAAACACTTGTGTTATTAATATCGACAATAATATCGTATTATCAAGCTTTGAGATACGTGTTCATAAGTGACGACATTATTTTACATTATTATCAACTCTATAAATTTACTTTGGAAAAAACACCGTCATTCGTCGTATATTATAATAATATTTGCATATTATCGCTTTTTCGGCTTACAGTATTATTATTGCTGTACGATGCGGAAATCTACGAATATTTTTTTCCGGACTTATTATTCACACTTTAGGTACCTACGTTTTTCCTTGAATATTCCGAATACGGCCACGGACGTGGTTTACGATCCAAGACGAGTAACGATTATTACGCGTCGTAATTGCGACTTTTCGTACGTACCTAACGGGACTGTACATTATTGTAGTGCGTAATATAAATTATAACAATATAAGAATAATACTTACACTCAACACCTCCCCCCCCCCCGGAAACAAATGTATTCTAAGAACTGATTTCGAAGTTTCAATAATCAAAATATCGCGTGCCTAAAATTAAATAATTGCTTATTCGAGTCGGGTAGATCGTAAAATTAGTTGTAAAAAAAAAAAAAAAAAAAAAAA